GGTGGCGGCCCCTCCTAGAATTGCATGCAGCTCAGCATAGAAGTGGCATGTCTGCGGCTCTGCCCCGGACCTTCCGTTTGTTTCTTTGGTTTTCTGGTAGGCTTGTCTGAGCTCCTTAACTTTCACGCGGCACTGATCTGAGTCCCTATTGTGGCCTTTCTCCATCATGCCCTTGGAGATTTTTTCAAATGTTTTGGCATTTCGTCTTTTGGAATGTAGTTCTGCTAGCACGGAATCCTCTCCCCATATAGAGATCAGATCCAGTACCTCCCGTACAGTCCCTTCTGGTGCCCTTTTCCGATTCTCGGACTGCATGGTTACCTGTGCTGATGAGCTCTGCGTGGTCACCTGTGCTCTCCACACTGGGCAAACAGGAAATGAAATTCAAAAGTTTGCGGGGCTTTTCCTGTTTACCTGGCCAGTGCAACCGAGTTCAGATTGCTGTCCAGAGCGGTCACAATGGTGCACTGTGGGATAGCTCCCGGAGGCCAATACTGTCGGATTGCGGCCACACTAACCCTAATTCAAAATGGCAATATCGATTTCGGTGCTACTCCCCTCGTCGAGGAGGAGTACAGAAATCGATTTTAAGAGCCCTTTATGTCGAAGTAAATGGCTTCGTGGTGTGGATGGGTGAAGGGGTAATTTGATTTAACACTGCTAAATTCGAACTAAACTCATAGTGTAGACCAGGCCTAGGTGTCTAATTTCTTTTTTTGCATCCAGGCCACCATAACTTGAGTAGGTCTTTGCAATGTGGCTGCTTACACCCAGGTGCTGATCACCCGGGCTACTGTGCAGCAAAGACATATTCTAATTCTCAGTGTCTCTGTTTTTGGGTGTTCAAAGTTGGAGGGCTTGATTTTCAGAGGCAGTCAGAACCCAAAATTCCAGCCAAAGTCAATGGGAGCTGTGCATGCTCAGGCCCTTTGAAAATCAGGCCCAAGCTATTTCAAGTCAGATATGAAGAAGCTGACACCCAAGAACTGTGGCCATTTTTGAAAACGTTAGTTTATCTATAGTCACATTCTGATTGGCTACTTGAGCCTTTATGCTACACCTGTGCACCAACTCCCAGTAGTCCATGGATAGAATTTCATCATTGACCCCCACACAATGTTAAATTAAGTGTGTAGGAAAGTTACTGGAGTGGAGAGGTGAAACATCCTCTGAGGATTGGGGGAGGGAGGGAGAGATAGTAAAGAGACACAGTTAGGAGTGCACTGGGAGTGGGTGAAAAAAAGGGACAGTTGCTTCTGTCCTGCCTATGGAACACTGCATTATGAGGGACTGTGTCCTCACACAGCTTGCGGGGGAGGTATGATGGCAGAGAGCAGATAGGACATATTCTCACCCCTCTCCCTGTAGGAGCTGGATTTTACAATGTACTATGAGAATTAATGTATGATTTGATTTCATCTTGTCAGCCACCCTTTTTGAATAGCAGAAAGGAATGACAGACCAAAACAATCCTTATGACTAATTATGGTCATCCTTTTGTTTTAGAATAAGTTATAAAGCTACTATGGTTTCCTATATGTATTACAAATTAGGAAGTAAGAGACAGGATTCTCTATTGTGTCTATGATAAGTAGATTAGAGGAACATTGAAGGCCCGGGTCTCAATGTAAATTGTCTTGGTTATTGATTGTAAAACTTAGCAAGGTTTAATTTGCAATGCCCTTTTGCTCAGTATAAAATACTACTGTTTGTATTCTCAGTCTGTTTGTGTGAATGAGGAATGTATGCATTAGAAAAAGATAAGGTGTGAAGGCCATTGTTATAGCCAGAGTCAAGGAAGAAGGAGTGAAGAAACTTAAAGGACATCAAAGAATCATCAACACGCATCCATAATGAAGGGCAGATTGACGACCCTGAGGTAAAGGCTGGCACCCCTAAAGACAATTGATTAAATCGGAACAAAGGACAGGATGACCCTCTTGGAGGTGTATTGGAATGCTTACACCAATTAAGAAGTAACCGGTCACAAAGTGACACAGCAAAATCCATAGGCTTCAACAGAGAAGAAAACCTATAAGAACAGGGTGCTTTGCCATAGGACTTTGGGTTCGTCTTGCCACACTCCAGGAGCATCGGATCGCGACCGATAGAACCCCGCTCCCCTCTGTGACCAATCTGGCTGGCCACTAGATTGATCCAGAGTCTGGACTGGTAACTATAAACATCACTGCAGGACTCTGTGTGTGTGTGTCTAAAAAGCATATGCTAACTGTGGTATTCTCAATAAACGCTGTGTGTATTTACCTTCCTCTATAAAGATCCCGTGTGCTTTGTATGAGCATAACATCCCCATTCAACTGCAGCCCTCAGGATTACTTTCACAAGCAGTATGTGGGCGAAGTACTCCAGGCTTTTGAAGGGCCAACAGAATCCACAGAGAGACGATCTCTTCTGCCCAGCCTGTTACTCCCAGTAATACCTGAGATAGCAATTTTACTCGGGCAAGGAAGCTGGAATGTAAGACAAGTGTAAATCAAGAGATTTAGACACAAATTCTCTTCTCTGTGTGAATCAGGAGCAATTCCATTGACAGCAGAAGTGTTACCAGTGAGTGGAGAATCAGGCCCTACAATTTATTTGTGGTGGTGGGAAGAAAGCTTTGCCTGATGAAGTTATCTGTAACTTCAAAATTCACTGCTGTTCCTCCTATTTTCTCTTTCAAGTGCCTAACATCTGGGAAATAATGCCTAGGAACTTCCTCTCTGCATCTCTGACCAAAGGCCACTTTAAAGAGCATGTGTGTGTTTATACTCCCTGCAGGTTTGTAAAGGTTAGGGTGTTAATGTTTTCTAAATTGTTTTAGTTTCTTACAAGACCAGTAGCTACAGCCGTGTTCAATGTTATGATTTTTATAACTAAAAAGTAACTGTAAAAGCTCTTATTCTGCACAATAAAATAAAAAATTTAATTCAATTCAGCATGTACTCCCTCTTTGTGAGGTTTCTTAGTAGAGTTGAGATTAACCTGTCATTGCTGCATCTGCTCTTAGGTCTTCTGAAAGAGGATGTGCTAATGGACCTGGCATATAGAGAAAAGTAGTCATGTGTAGAATAGAGCAGTACTGTAGAACTCAGGTGGAAAGACCATCTGCAATACCAGTGTGTCTTGTCCTCTCTGGTGTAGGATGCATAAGTACAGCTGAAGTGAAGACCTGTTTTGAGGTACTGTACTTGAACCACACCCGCAATATCTGGGTGCATTTTTGTATGTGGATGAGAGATATTGGAAATACTATAGGCACTAAATACTGCATTCACCAATGGCAGAACTATCTTTAAGTGGCACTGTGGTTAAGGCAGTTGACTAGACCTCAGGAAATCTGAATTCAATTCCTAGCTCTATCATGGGCTTCCTGTGTGACCTCATCTGTAAAATGGAAATAAAAATACTTACAGATCTCACAGGGGACCCCAGGATAAATTCATTAAATGACTAACACAGACAGATACTGCAGTGATGTGACTATACACATATCTAAATACACATCATCCAGAAAGAAAATTAAGGAACAAGTAAATCTCATGCATAATAAAGAGAAATGCAGTATTGAGAGTTACTTGGCTAACAGCCATACAGTTCCCCATTCATTGTAATGGAAGCTGCAAAGCTAAAAGTACCCTTTAAATTGTAAGGTAGTACATAATTGAAACTATATTCCTGAGTCCAGAACCAATTAGAACCCGCATACATGACCACTAGACTAGGAAAAAGGTGCTTTTAGAAACTGAGTTAGCTAATATGAATGCTCTCTATAAATATATCAGAGGGATAAATACCAGGGAGGGATAGGAATTGTTTAAGCTCAGTACCAGTGTGGACACAAGAACAAATGGATATAAACTGGCCATCAGGAAGTTTAGACTTGAAATTAGATAAAGGTTTCTAACCATCAGAGGAGTGAAGTTCTGGAACAGCTTTCCAAGGGGAGCAGTGGGGGCAAAAGACATCTGGCTTCAAGACTAAGCTTGATAAGGGGATGGTATGATGGGATAGTCAAAGATCAATTAATTGCCAAAATTAGGCTATTAGCGGTAAATATGCCCAATGGCCTGTGATGGGATATTAGATGGGGTGGGATCTGAGTTACTACAGAGAATTCTTTCCTGGGTGTCTGGCTGGTGAGTCTTGCCCACATGCTCAGGGTTTAGCTGATCGCCATATTTGGGGTCAGGAAGGAATTTTCCTCCAGGGCAGATTGGCAGAGGCCCTGGGGGTTTTTCGCCTTCCTCTGCAGCGTGGGGCATGGGTCACTTGCTGGAGGATTCTCTGCACCTTGAAGTCTTTAAACCATGATTTGAGGACTTCAATAGCTTAGACATAGGTTAGGGGTTTATTACAGGAGTGGGTGGGTGAGATTCTGTGGCCTGCGTTGTGCAGGAGGTCAGACTAGACTATTATAATGGTCCCTTCTGACCTTGAAATCTATTACTCTAATATATCACCTCATATAGGCACAATTTAACAACTTCCAAATTGTGTTCATTGGCTGTGTTTATCCCAAATTCTCCATCAATGGAATATCTAGATTGGAAAACTGGTCGAGGTAAGGTTAAGGTTAGCAACAACATGTTACTTAACCTCCATCATGTGCTAGTCTTGACATGCCCAACCTTATCACACAATGAGCTAACACAATTGTAACTGCATCTATGCTATGTGTTAAGGCTGCTTTCAAACTTGAATTTTAAAAAGTCAATTTTTCTAGTCTATACCTCATGTAGACAGGTCTTCAGGATTTGTCTAACAGAGTTTGTGGTCCCATTTTAACTTGAGTTAATAACTGACTGCCAATTAATTTAAGTTAGCCAATGCAATAGTAAATGATAGTTTAAACACTCCACAAATGTTTGGTGTGTCCTCGAACAAACACTGATGGAGTGTCATGGCTAGCATTTCTCTTTAACTCAGGTATCTGAGAAAATCAACATCATGAAAATAAGAGCAAAGTTTGCAATGTAAAAGGAAGAAATACAAGACTATTTTTAAGAGAGGAAAAGGAAAAACTTTAGTTAAAATATTTTACAATAAAATAATTATGGTTATAAATCTCTTTAGTTAAATATGTACACATTACATGGTATTTAAAAAAGAATGGAACTGGTTAAAGTTTTCAAGCAAATCTAATGCACAAATCCACCATCTTGTCAGCTTTAGATTGTAATGTCAGTTTAACATTCATAAATGGCTGTGTCAGACTAATGGCACTGCTTTGTGCAAAACATAAACAAAATTAAGAAAAAATTCTGCAAAATCCTTCGGTTCCCATGGTAAATTGCTAAAAAAGGTAGTACATACAACACACATTGTGATTGTATACAGAGGTTAGAATGACCAGCACTAATATAACCCCCATATCTACAAAATAATTAACTCCTTGGGTAGCTTTAGTTTTTGTAAACTACAAATTCTTAGTCCTAGCAAATTGTGCTTTTAGGCAGCCACATGGCCAATAAGGTAGATGTTGTCATAAAGGTGCCCTACAAAATCTTCACTAATGTTCTGAGCAGCACGTCGTGTGTTTCGGATAAATTCTCTCTTTGACATTTTGTTCTTCACATGAGGGCTGGTAAGATCAATGGAAAGCAGAATCAAAGAGTAGCATAGTACATAAACTGCATCTAAAGAAAAGAGAACATTATGAAGTTACTGTTTACAGAACCATAAGTATGGATGGCACTTTACAGAAAACTAAAATGATCCTGCTCAAGGATCTTACAATCTTAAGGGCTTCCTTGAATAAATATGCACGAGTAACTTTACTCACATGAGTAGCTCATTGAAAACAATTTATTCTTATTAAAAAGTTATAATGATAATGCAGTGCTAAATAAACACCAATGAATGTATTCATATTTATACAGTATCCAAAGTGTGCAAAATTCTTTACAGACATGAAGATAGACAGATCCCTGCCCTGAAGAGATTTCACTTTAAGGCCCTGATCCTGCAAATGCTATGCACATTCTAAACACTAAGTATGTGAGCAGTCTCACTGGGTAAAATCCTGTCCCCATTGAAGTCAATGGCAAAATACCCATTGACTTCAATGAGGCCAGGAATTCACCCTATTTGCTTATTATTATTCACAGGGTGTAAAGTTAAGCTTATGTGCAAGTCTTTACAGGATCAGAACCTATAGAGACCACAGAGATAAATGGCAGACAAGGGAGAAGGGAAAAGATGCAACACAACAATTTTTTAAAATCACTTTTTGTACATGGAAGTTGTTTGCCTATCAGGTACGTACAAGAGGAAAATCAGTAAGTCAAAAGTTTTTTTTTTTTTTTTTTAAATTACTATTGTCTGTATTACTGTAGCTCCTGACAGGGAGGAGTTTGTATGCTTATTGTGTACAATATGCGCAGACCTGACCCTCTCCCAAGACTAATCTTTCTACTTTTAGAAAAATTTAATTAGACTCTGATTTAAACCCACTATGAAAAGTAACATTTTCCAAAGTATATGTAGATAAATATAGACTGATTCACTGCATAGAAGTCCTCTCTTCTTACCAGGGCTAAGGCCAAGCTCTCTCATCAAATCAGGATTACAAGCACAGAATCTGTGTGAGAACTTTGTTATAAGAGTCTCAAGATACTCCCCACGCTCCTCAGGGGCATGAATGTGTTTGAAAAACTCTCTCAGTGCATTTGGCAAGAACTGATTTCTGAAGTTGTGCAGTGTCACAAGGTCATCCAAAACATCTCTCCTGGTTGAAAAAAAAAAAAAAATAGAGAAATTTCCTTTCTACTGTTTAAACATTAAACAAGGTTTCAGAAATTAAAATGAAGATTTCTTAGAGTCTGAATTATAGGTATTTTCTGTCATGAGAAAATGAAGGAAAAATCCAACATTGATAAAACAAGAACAGGAAACACGTTCCTCAGACTGCTACCACAGTAGTGTACAGTTCAGCCTAATACTTGAGAGAAATTATAATAAAGCAATATTCTAAATTTGCACAAACACAGAGTACAGAGGAAATTGAAGCTGCAACAATACCTGACAAAGCTAAGGAAACCACAGTAAAAGGAATAAATATACAATATGCCTTTCAGGGCCTATGTACATTAACAAGCAGTTAAGGCAGCATTCTGTTAAAACCAGGCTCAACTAAGGTGATATTCACTCATGGTGCATAGGGCCGGCATACAGGCCCTCCACAACACTTAGTTTCCATGGGAGTACATGCTCCATCTATCCCCTGAATATCAAAAGGGCTCGGCGTGCAAGGGAAATCTGGAAGCAAGCCAGGGGAGAGGCAAGAGATCCACAATGTACTGATCCAGTGGCTGAAACATCCCAAGTAGGGGCTGTGGAGCATCAGTATCCAGAATTCCAGCCTATGGTCTACTCTTTTGCACATCTACAATTCCCACATCCCAGTCCAAACATAGTGTCTTGCTTAAAGCCTGGTTACGCATTCTTTGGGGAAGAAAGGTGAATCTCATTCTTAAGAAACAGGAAAAAATATACACAGCAAAATATTAGTAACATTCCAATGCTAGACAGCACAAAGATCGCCTATGTAAGGTGACATTCCAGTTACAAATATAACTTAAGCTTGGAACTGAAAATGTGGAAATAAGTACACTAGCTGACCTTTACTAGATAAACACAGTATGCTTATATATAGTGGTGCGCATACACACATGCTAGAACTGAGTAAATGTTCTGCTTTAGGAATAATATATTTTAGCTGAATCTCCGTGTTTGCTCTTTACTTCAAATTTTTCTAATTAAGATTATTTTTCATTAGATTAGTACACGTAAGAAGAGTGATTACAGAAAGGTGTTACAGACTGAAAATGAATATAGCATTTTCCCCTCATTACAGATTCAAATTACCTTTCATCAAGATAGATCCTCAGTTTCTTCCAATTTAGTGTTCTTGTACAAAATATAAACTTAGCTATTTCCTTTGGTGAATCATCCAGTATACCCTTGGACATAAAGTAGTTAACTCCCTGAGACAAAAAAAGGACATTTGTATATAAATAAGATTGGTCTTAACAAATCTTTTATGGGAAAATATTGTAATGAGTAATATTGGAACATAAGCCTGCTAATGTTTTAGCATAATCCCTCCTTCATCCTCTAAATGGCATTTCAACATGCACAATACAATCTAAAATTAATATAAATCAAATGCAAATAAGATTAATGCAACATTATGGTTGAAATTTTACATGTACTAACAGTAGGAAATTCAAAATTACATATCCCACAGCAAGCATAATTTGGCTCTGTTGTATTTTCTCTTACTATTTTTCTGTCATCATATGTATATACATGGTGATTAAATTATGTTTGTTGTAGGGACCATAATTTATAATTTCCTAACTATGGTGCATATAAAAATCTTGGCCATAATGTGCTTTTTGCCTTTAATTTCTTTTTATTTAAAGCATTGATTTCAATGTTCTTCCATGTGTATGGGTTCACATTCAAATAAATGCACTATATACATTTAATTAAATGTATAATAACTCAAATAAATGTGTGTTTATTCAAATTGCAGATCCAGATACACACACATATACGTACAGTATATATGTATAAAAAAATCCAACAGCACTCTGCCTCTCCCTAATTTAAAAAAAAAAAAAGTTTAGAAAGTGACAGAATGAACATATACCTCTATTCACTTATTTATTACTTCTACATTACAACCATTTTTTCACACTTTGCCAAGCACACACTTCTCACTGAGAAATATGTACATGCCAAATTTGAACATGTAAATACAATATTTAAAATCTTTTTGGATGCTTTTCTTGAATTTAGATATCTCAAAGCATGAAAACTACTTTTGTCATGGTCTTATAATTCAAAAGCAGCTTACTGGATTTTAACCAAAAATTTTGGGGAGGGGTGGGGAAAAGGAGAAAAAAGGAGAACAGCCATGACAAATTTAAACTCAGAGCGTAACTTTTTTGGGAAGGGGCTTAAACTCAAATTGCGTCTTCAGCAGTAAATATGGCATCACTACCGTGATAGTATAATGCTGAAATAGGTACAAATGTGCAATCTAATGCATTCTCCTAATTTGCTTTAGACATCAGTGTATCAGTGCAACTCCCTAAATCACCAAATAAGATAACCCTTACAATTTTTTTTCATTATAAATCTTCCGATTCCAGGTACTTTACAATTGCAAATTTCCCCTTTTGGTTTAAATTATATCTATAAAGACACAGTGGGGGCAACCTAGCACTTTGTTTATAAACAACCTTCCCAATGATGACAATTGAAGTTCTGCATAAATAAGGAGTGTACGACTGAGCTTTTAATCTGGAACATTATTTTATAAAAAGTGAGACAGTTAAGTAAGACAGAAAAGCTGAACCATGTCAAGCAAACTAGAAAATAAACCTTGAGATGATGACCAGGGACTTCACTTCAGAGACCTAAAACACAGGTGAAAGACTAGCACGCACATATACAACAAACATAATATGCTATTTAGCCTTTTTTATTTTATTTTTTTTTTACTGGTTCATAATTTGTTTTTATATTTGTGGAAAATGTTACTTGAAGTAACATAGTTCTTTGGTTATAATCAAAACAATGTTTTAAATATATGCAACAAATTAAATATATGCAAACAATTTTCTGTTAGGAACAAGGAATCTAGGCAACTTTAGGGCCTGATTCAGGTAAGCATCCGTATTCAGGGCAGCACTTAAGCATGTGTTTAAATTAAAGTATGAACTTACGTATGTGCTTAATACCCATTGACCTAATTGGGATTTATCTGGGCTTTTCCGAATAGGAATGGCCTTAAACCCATGCTTAAGTGCTTTTCTGAATCAAGGCTTAAATGGGAAACTAAAATGGATTATCAAAATGATTAAACAATTGCTCACTGATGCCTCAGGATTTTGACAATTGCTTAAATATGACAAAAACCAAAACAGCAACACTACAATATGTCATTACATCTTCTGTTTAACTCTGCCTCCTTAATCTTGCATCCTGATTCAGCAAAACACTAAAGTACGTGCTTAACTATAAGCATGTGCTTAAAGTGTTCAGGTGAACTGGGGCCTTGAGGAATATCCTATTTTTAAACAAGCTGTGTCCTCACAGCACTTACTCCTCTTACTACAGTGTTACTAAAAGAGGGAGACATTGGACAATCTGAACAGAAATGGATTTACCATCTACTTTCACAATGAAAAAAAGTCACCTGTTCTATAGAGACAATCTGAACTTGTTCTCCCAGAGCTGGGAGATGCTGCAAAACATTTCTGTGCTATATAAGGCTCTTTATGACCAACAGTGTGTTGTTGGTACTCATTGTACAAGCTATCAGCTCCTCATTTGACATCCTCAACCCACCCTAGCTCTGCTTCCTTTTATTGTATCTTCTTCTGTCAATGCCATCTCCTCACTCATTTCCTTTTCCTCTTTTTCACACACACAAGGTGTGATTGTATATTCATTCCAACACAATAACAGTGCCACTTTTGAGTTGCTGTTATTTCTCCCCAAACAACACATACTTTGAACCAAACTGAAATGGTTTCTTTTTAAAGATTTTCCCCATTTTTTGTTTGCTCACATTGAGTGAAGGTTATTTGTAAGGACACTGGACAATCTGCTCTCTAAATGTGTAAACTGTTGTATGTTTATGGCATCTCCGTCACCTTCCTCCCCCACAAAATAAATCACCTTTATTACGCATGTTCAGCTATGAATGTACACTATTTGAAGGGCATAATTCTACAAGGAAGCTAAAACTAAATGTCAGATAATCCGCTTTAAAGTCCCATTGCACTGATCCGTCTTAAGCAGGCATCTGAGGATTCCCCCAGCAAAGGGGAATCCTTGGCTGCAGTAAAGCCAGTCTATTGAGCTTTGTGACCTGTTTCTCACCAATTTTTGGGTAGGAGTGGTTTAAGGCTGGTGGGGGCACACTGTGTGTGTGTGTGTGTGTGTGTGTGTGTGTAGGAGTGGTTTAAGGCTGGTGGGGGCACACTGTGTGTGTGTGTGTGTGTGTGTGAAGGACAATATACTCTGGCAATCATGGTCGAGTGGAATGGTCCTTAGAAGACCTTTCCAGCAGCCATGATTTACAGCAGTTTCATGGCTGCTCTAAATTGTGTCTGTGGCCAGCTTTGTCCTTTGACTATCCTCAGGATTGGGGGCTTAGAAAAGCTGATTTAGAACTACCCGTGTCTTCCTTCCCCATTGTGCTGTTTATGAGCTCAGCATAGCCCAGGATGCAATCCTAAGTTTAAGAAGGGCTATTTAAAGTATATGCAACTAACAGTCATCATTGTGGGCTATGCTTGACTAGGGAGGCAAGTAACTATCACAACAGGTTCTAGTTTATGGTCACTAGTTGTTCATGCCACCCCTTTCTCATGTTACCAATTAATTCCGATGCATTACACCAGTTCTCAGGGGGCTGAGGTGCTCTTTGAAGCATATCTGGATGATTATCGGAATGCATTGCCAAGGATGTGTCTTGAGAAAGGGAAGATCAGATTGGAGGGATTTATTAGAGATGCCACTCACAGTTGCAGAGAATTTGATTACTGGAAAGGGGCCAGTGTGGACAGCTTTTATTTTTATCGTTTGTTTACAACTCAGTACTTTCCTGTAGATATATTATGGTAGGTATCTTGTAGCAGCTATTATAGATAATTAAGGTTGCAAGTGGTTTACATTATAACAGCTCTGTTTTTTATATGCCCATAACTTTCTGCAACTATTCACCTTTTGGGCTGAAATTTTCTATGCTTATGCCTGATGATGATTTGGTTTTTTTAATAAAAAGTTTGAACAAAATTAATTGACAGTTCTGAGTATGGGACAGTAAAACACATTTTTGCCAATGGCTTTAATCACCCTCGTCCCCCTCCCCGTCCGCCCCCCAAAACACACCCTAACTATACTTTTCTTATCAGGGTTAATGCAAAAATTGGGTAAAGTTTAACATTTGGCATACATAGTTCTGAGTTTTGTGTATTTGCTTAGCTTTGGATAAATACGTTTAAAATACAAAAAGATGATTGAAATAAAGAATCACTACTGAGCAGGACAGTGAGCATCTGCTAAGATTTTTAGCACATTTTCATTAACTACTCCCATATGTGACAGCACTGGACATTCTCTCTGCTGGAACTCATTAGAGAGTTCACGTAGGAGCAGGGGCTGCTGTTCTCAGTCTGCTGCTAACACTATTAGTATGGGATAGATTGTAAATGCATCATTGATACACATAACAAAAACTACAAAGTATGTTCTCTCCACAAGTTTTACTGTACTCTGCAATATTCTGCAGATTGTAATCTCTTACTTTACAAAAACTCAGAGAATACCAGACGGAGTCAGGACAGCTGGGATCTAGTCCCAGTTCTGCCATTGGCTCACTATGTGAAGCTAGGCAAATTGCCTCCTCTCTGTGTGCTTCATCTGCCAAAAGGAGATAATGATCATAGAATATCACGGTTGGAAGGGACCTCAGGAGGTCATCTAGTCCAACCCCCTGGTCAAAGCAGGACCAACCCCCAACTGATGTTTTATCTGCCTTTGTAAAGCACTTTGGAATCTACGGCTGAATACTATATACATATTAAGTATTATTCTACTGCACTATAGCAAAGATACAGCCAGTATAAAATAAACAATTGCAGTGTGACTGCTGAGTTAGGTTTTTGCAAGAAGGAGTTATCTTCAGCTAAATGATAGGCCTGATTCTACTAAGCTCGGCATGCCTCCTTCACAGTGCCAAGCATTCTCAACTCCCACTGAAGTCAAATGGGGACACTCATGCCACCCCCATACAATTCACCTCAGTATGCTGTATATTTGAAAGCCTAACTGGGAAAATGGAAATAGTAAATTCAGGTATTTTCCCTTTTTCACTTTATTTATTTATTTAAGAAAAAGATTTCAAATGCAACACCATCTTAAAACTTTAAGGTGCAGTTAATTTTTTTTTAAAAGTTAGAAA